GAAGCTTTGTCCTTATTACTCATGACTATCATTTTGGCTCAGTAAAGCGACACAGGAACATACAAAAACGGATACATTATCGAAAATCTCAAGATCTAAATATCTACTAATTGTATCCAAATGTGCTCATTACTTGAAGAGCACAAGGAATGTCTTGCTTGAGGCAAAATTCAATTGAGACACGTATATCAAAAGTGCGTCCCTATTCACTACTAGGAAGAGGTCTAACCATCATTCTCAAAAGGAATCCAACACGACCTGAGGATTCAGGTATCAGTTTCATGAAAAGTAATTCATCAGTAGAAGAGCTATATTCCCAAAAGAAGATTACTATATGTACACATGGCTAGAACCACATTGGAAAATAGATTATTCCGTGTATACTAAATAGATCTCATCTTAGGTTAAGTAATAAAGTTCTTTTAAATTCTTGGAATATAGACTATATTAATGTAAATAGGCGTTAAATAAATTCTAAATAGTGTTCATAAAGAGTTAAAAAATTAATGTGCCATTTTGCTTGTACTAAGCGTTATTTTTTATTCCAAATCTAATGAAGCTAAAAAGGTCACAAAGTAATTAAAAAAATTTGTCCCGATTATTAAAAAATCCACTGCAAATTGGATAAAAGAAAAAAGACAACTTGCCAGAGAAGAGCGAAGAACCCATTTTCTAGACCAAATAGAATATAGGTAGTTGTGAAGGCCAAGCGGCTGTGACCTTCACGGACATTGACTACATCGAAGCAATAAACTCCAGCCAAAACTAAATCAAAAGCTATTTCAGCAAGAGTTCCAGGATGGGCAGAACAAAATGTAGTGCCTCTGGCGATTAGCCAACCAGCAGCAAGGGCCCAGTGGCTAAAGAGACATGCAGCAAACCAAAACGGAGATAAAGAAGCGGCAGCAAGACCGAGTGCCAAGAGTCTAGATGCCAGTAGACAAGTTTTCCATAAGAAGAAGAGACTGGCTCCAGTACAGCTGAGATTGGCTTTATCGGGCCGACTACAGCGTAAAGCAGCGTGATAAGCAGTCAAACACCAGGCCAAAGAGAACCAAGAAGAAATGCAGGATATGGATTGAGCAAGCACTAATAAAAAAAAATAAAGTTATATAAATATTGCTCGTACCAGGTTAGTTGGCGCTATCAGAAATCTAAATGTCGA